TCAAATTTTAGCCGGAATGTCGAAAAAGAGAGCGCACCAACGCTTATCCTATCTTCGTCTCTTTTGTGCATACGACTCTTGAGTTCTTCACTTGGACATGAGGTGTGGCGAAGAGGGGTTTTCTGTCGAAAGAGGGAATGTGGAAAATCTCCTGACATATGTCGAATTTCGTGATGTTTCGACATTGGTGTGGCGAGGCCCTAAGGGTCAGATCCCACTACCCTGGATTAGTCATTTTTCACCCTCGATTAAGAAGATCAACGGTCAGAAATGAGCAATAGGGGCTAGTGCCTAGTGGGATCTTGCCCCAAGTGTGGCATCTAAAAACTACAGTGGAGCTGGGCTGTAGTATAGTGGTGGGATCAGACCCTAACTACCATCTTCACCCGAATAGAACGCCGGGTCATTATCTCTCTATCTACACCGAAACTTGCATCAAACTCAGGGATAACTGGTGGAAAGCGCCCACAAAACCTTTTCCGTTTGGGTGCCCATAGTTCGGAAGTTGGCGCCCATAGTTCAGCCGTTTAGCTAGGCCGCTTTGTACTATCGGCCCAAACAACTTCAGCCGCTGTGGCTCTACAACGGACAACGAATCTGGCACTCTTTCTGTACCAAATTCATGAACAGGGCCACTCTTTTTTACGATACCCTGCTTGGGACTCGTTCTATCCATTAGGGGTACTACGCTCTGCCTTCTTTAAATTGGAATGAATCTGGGAGTGTTTATGAGCCATATTCATTATCTGGTAGGGCCCGGGTAGCAACTTGTGGGCCAGTAGTAGTGCCCCAAATGGAACGGTTTGGGCGTGCAGTACCAAATTCCTGGGCGCTTTCCAGCAATTATCCCCCAAATTCAGCTATAATGACCGGCCGTTCTATTGGGTGAAGACAGTAGCAATAATAATAACGACAAGGCGTTCCCTGTCCCTCTCCTCTTTCTTCGTGCTCGGGTCGTTTACCTCTGACTGCCTCCCATCCCCCCCCCTCCTCCCTCCTCATTCTCCTCCTCCTCCTCCCTTGTTCCTCTCCTTCCCCTTTCTCTCCAATCCTATCCCTCGTTCTGCCTTCCTCTTCATCCGGTCTCTCTCTTTCTCCCCGTCCCTCTCCCTCTGCCTCTCTCTCTCCCTTGCCCCCTCCCCCTCACAGCTCCTTGTCTCCTTCCTCCTCGCTTATTACTCCACTCTCTCACTGACTACGCTGATCAATTGATGCGTAGAAAACCTCGTACTAGACAACCTTTGAAACTCCCTGCAGCTTCAACCACCTCTTAAAAGTCGGTTGGATGTCCATCTCCTTGACTGTCGTATGCGCTCTTTTGTTTGGTCTTGGTTCCACTCTTTCTTTCACGCAAGCGTGCACTTATCAACAGTAGACTCAGTAGTGCATTAGACTCAGTAGTGCATTGGCACATGCACAGAGAGGGCTGAGCTCACAACAAAGTTTGAGGTGGCAGTGGCGGCAGAGGACAAGTACCTTTCTCGGCCTTTTGGCTAAGTGTAGTATCTGTTATCTGATCAGTTTGATATCTGATCCTTTATGAAAAAAAAAGTGGGAAGGAGTTCTTAATGCAAGGAGTATGAGCGAGAGTGATAGACAGGAATACAAGTTGCAAAATCACGCAGAACTTGCGGTAGAAGTCCAGATAGTCATGTACCAAGCAGAGAGCTCGAATGCACCAACATTCCATCCAAATAAGAGCAAAGCAGTGAACTCGTGTGCCAGTGTTTTGGCCCTCAGGCCGCATCAACACAGTATCCAATGTCGCTCATCTCTGTCTGGCACCCAGCACCCAGCCAACTCTACTGAGCCTATCTAGCCTACCTACATAAAGGCTACATTCATGCAACAGAACTACTTCCGACGTTGAAGACCAATGTACATGACGTCAACACCAATGCCGACCTCCCACATATATGATATGCCAGTTACGTTCCCTCTCCTCCCTCATCAGACCTTGACCACCCACTCATGTGCCTCCTACCCAAAGACCACCTTCGCTGATCATCCGCATGCGCCCCTGCAGCCCGGCTATGGCTGCTGTGAGCCCGCTGCCCTGCAGCGCCCCTCTCACCTCATAGCACCCATGTGCGCCCCAGCCAGCAGCGCACATGCAGACACTTGCGCAGCAACGCAGCAGCATGTCCGCATTGCCTGCGTAGGCCAGAATGCCCTCAGCCTGGCCAGCAACCTTCCTATATGGAAGTCGCGGCCCTGTTTGGCTGCGTGGGCCTGGATGAGGAAGCTCCCAGTAGCTTCCGGTCGGGCCCCAGTGTCTTCTTCAAGGCCCTGTCCGACAGTTGGGGGCCTGGGCCCTTTTCTGGTTGGGCACGTCCAGGCAGCCTCCAGGCTCCAAGTGTTTGCCTTCTTGCCATTGGCTCGCCCTCTGTGCCGACAATGCTGCTTGCGGATTCGTCCGCGCGGCCACGATGATTTGCCTGCGGCCACTTCGTGATGTGTCGGCCTCACACTGCGTGTGCCCAGGGCGCAACCACCCGGCCCTGGGCTCAACTGCTTGACACAGCTGCTGTCTCTGGAGGGAGCCCAGGAGAGGCTCACGTTGCACTTCAACCAACTGCCGACAAGCTGCCGTGCTGCAACTGCCTATTGGAAAATGCTGAGACAAGGGCCTCTTGTGGATTTTCAGGCCCGCCTTCACTTAGGGTGGGCACAAAGTCTGCTGGGGGCCACAGCCCATATCATGTGCATGTTAGCTAGGGGCCTAGGGCCCCGTGAGGGCACATTCCTCACATACTGCGTGAGTGAGTGAGTGAGCGGGTGTGAGTGGGTGAGACCGAGAGAGAGAGAGAGAGAGAGAGAGAGAGAGAGAGAGAGGGAGAGAGAGAGAGAGACAGAGAGAGAGAGAGAGGTGGGGTAAGCGGCTTGCAGGCTATAGGCCTGGCTTCTTCGCAGTACATTGCTCAGCAAATTTGTAAATTAGTGGCAAGTATCTATTCAGCTGGAACGTGTGAAGATACATTCACGTTCTTTTTTTTTTTGTCGCGATTTTCACAATTAAAGCCTTGGAGGCAACCTGTGGTGTGAGGGCCTATGGGTGGAAGGTAAGGTTACTTCAGTAATTGAAGTTCTAGTATCGCGAAATACCCGTTTTTCATTCTCGTATTGTTTCTGCCTTAAATTTGTTGTATGAAACTGCACACAAGTGACATCACTGATTCGGACCAAAGGCAGCAGTTTCAGAACCATATCAAAATACATCTGTTTGAGGTAGCGGTTGCTCCTTGCACCCCTCGCTCATATCAGCAGGATTTTATTTATTTATTTTTTTTCAAGAAAACTCAGCTCAGCAGTTTTGTTTGATTACTCCTGTGTTTCTTTTATTACTCAACGGAAGAAATGTCTTGTGCCTGAAGAGTCTCGTCTCCTTTTTTTGCCCGAAAGGGCGATGACCCTTAGATATCATGAGCTGACCGGTCCAAGGTCATTTAAAACTCTGATTGCATCTGGATTCCAACTTGGGTCCCGTTGGTCTGAAGTACTATTGCATCTGGCCCTGGGTTCGAACTTGGGTCCCGTTGCTCTGAAGTACTATTGCATCTGGCCCTGGGTTCGAACTTGGGTTTGTATTTGAACAATTTATAGGTGTGAAAAGTGTAAGTTTCAAAAATAGCGCGTTCGTTGTAGTTTCACAGCAAAATAGTGGCGCGGCCCAAGTTTCGTTGCAAGAATACATCTTTCATTTTGTTGCAGCTTTACAGGTCCGGGTAGTTTCACAGCAAAAATATTTGCCCTTTCATTTTGTTGCAGCTTTACAGGTCCGGGTAGTTTCACAGCAAAAATATTTGCCGGCCGGGCCCCATTTCCATTGCAAAAATACATCTTCCTTTCGGCCCCCAACCACATTTCCGCTTGGGGACTTCAAAAACGCACTATTTCTGCAATTATCCCGTCTTCTGAAGTGTGAAAATGACTCACTGACTGATCGCACACTGTGTTGTCTTCGGTTGTGTTGTGTTGTGATGTGCTATGCTGTGCTGTGCTGTGCTGTGCTGTGCTGTTCTGTGCTGTGCTGTGCTTTGCTGTGTGATGTGATGTGATGTGATGTGATGTGATGCGATGTGATCGTCAAAGACTCCTCAGCAACTGATAAGTTCATGTTCAAGGAGGAGGAGAACCCACGAATATGCTGTCCAGTCGTGAGGTGATCAAGTGGAGGAAGCATCAGAGTTAAGTTCAGTTAACGTCTCTGGTTAATTCGGGACAGATCTTGGTCCCGGTCCCTGTCTCGATAGTACCGATGTGTTTCCAAAGGATCCTTGTCCATGTCTGCATGGGACTGTCTTCTTCATTGGCTAGTCCGTTTGACAGAATTGTGGTGGAAATCCACACTTACGCTTTCTAAGGGCAAGGACGAATAGAGAGGTGTTCTTTTTCCCTTCTTGTTTGATCTTTCCTTTCCTGTAGGACTAATAGAGGATCTGGTCTTCTTTTCCTTCTTGATTGATCTTTCCTTTAGTGTGCAAGCATTTTGCATTTCGTCCATATCATCCTTCGGCAGGAGTCATTCTTGTCTTCTTTGTTCAGCCGGAAAAGTGTTCTTTTTGTTGGCGATAAATTGCCGATAATTGGTGGAAAGCGCCAAGGGTTGTAAACCTTTTTGGCAAAGGGCTCCCAAACCTTTCCCGTTGGGCGAAAAGCGCCTACTGGAAATTCAATCTGGCCCGTTCTTTTTCGCCGTTTTGAGGGGGCAAGTGCTGTGAACATGCTTCATTCAAGAAGGATCTGAACTTGCGATTTGTTTATCAGTGGTCGCATCCGTGTACCAGGCACCTATTCAGCACCTAACCGCCCCCGCCTGAGAGAAAAGGTTAACCGACCCCCCATTTTTCACCTCAATTTATAAGAAAACCATAAGGCCATCCCAAGCAAACTTCACACCAATCTATAGAGTGCACTTCTTACCGCCTGAGGGGGAAAGTGCTGCGGACACGTGTTTATCAGTGGGCGTATGCGTGTACCAGGCACCTATACAGCCGCCTATTCGGGAACTTCAAGGATCTGAACCGACCCAGCCTGAGGGGGAAAGTGCTGAGAACACGTGTTTATCAGTGGCCGTACGCCTGTGACAGCTAGAGACTCAGACCCTATCACAATGGCGGATGGGAATGAGCAAAGTGGGTTGCAGCTCACACCAAGGTTTCCCGTCATTGACGGTGGGATTTGGAAAAGAATCAGCTCTGTCAAAAGTATTGACTTGCACAAGACCAAGCCATTGCTCATTTTTTGCTCTCAAGGACAGCCTCAAATATGGAACTACGAAACCGGTGAGAGGGTTGCAGATTTCAGCTCGGATGCAGGATGCCGTCACGCTTGTCAACCAGAAGGAGCATTCTTTTTTGAGGATGATAAGTTTGTGATGTTTGACGGTTGTACCATCCGTGTTTGCAGAAGGAAGGTATTGAACACCACCGGTGACCGTTACTGTTTGGAGTACATTAGCGAGGTAAAGGCACATAGCCTTGGTATTAAGGTGGTTGCCGTGGATTCCGTGAACCGGCTTGTAGTGTCATATAACGATTTCCTGTTGAGCGATGCAAAGCTGTGGTTATGGAAGCACAGCAAGAATGCATTCCAATTCGGACGGGCAATCGACATGGATCATACGATTAGAGGTGTGGCATTTACCGCATCATATTTTGCTATCCTTTATCGACGTTTTGTCCAGATATGGAGCACTTCCACCCTCACCCTTCATCAGGACCTCACCGATGATGGTGAGCACAATAGCGCAGTAGAGTTCTGCAGGGACCCCAACAAGCCCCTCTTGGCCGTTGGCACCTACACGGATTTTCCTCACTCTAAACGGTTTTTCCTCAAGGTGTGGGACTACAGCACAAGGACATGCATGGCCACAAAATTGCAAGGCCATGACGACGAAATCACTAGCATTGTTTGGTCTGAATACATCTTCTCGGCATCAGAGGATGGCTACATCGTGGTTTGGAATGGATCGAACTTTCAGGCATTGCGACGCTGTCTCAGTGGATTGAAAGGGAGGCTCATGCTTGCGCTGGGCCCTGGCGGAAAGGTGTGTCCTGATGCGCTCATTGTTGGAGGTGATGGAGGTATTGTTGTGCTGGATGTGAGACATCAGACCAAAGCATCGGGAAAGGAGCAGCTTGAAGAAAGAATCCACGAGCTCGAGAAGCAGCTTGAAGAAAGAACCAAGAATGACAAGAAGCAAGCAGAGAGAATCCAAGAGCTCGAGAAGCAGCTTGAGGTGTACCGTAGGGGTACAGGAGGTGAAGTGCAAGACTAGAAAAAAGGCCTGCGAGGCTGCGAGTGAGAAGTCGAGAACTGGTGAGGTCGTCAAAAACAGACTCCGAGCATGACAGTAACCACAGAACGCAAGCATAGGCAATCCTACTGTTGCGGGGGAGGGGGAGCCTGGGGGACAGAAGTAGGTGATTTGGTGGAGCAAGTGCACCAGTCAGAGGTGAACCTGGGAGGCTGGGACCTGCCGTCGGCCGCCCGCCTTTGACAACAGCTGAGACAGTGTCGAGTGCTGGACCAATCATGAGTCGAGCACAACAGGAGGAAGGAAACACATTTAACACAAACAGAGAGGATCCAACAGCTGAAGAATGAAGTACAAAATGTGAACAGGAAGTTTGGCGAGGAAGGGTCGATCAGGAGGTGGCTAGCTCGGGACTACGTTATACTACTATGTCGAAGGTATTGTATGTACCAAGTGCTGCATACTAGGTATGTAGTATGTTCTGCATGTACGACATACTATGTCCACGTACCAATTATGTAGTAGGTACGGTATGTACTATGTACTATGATGAAGGTTCGTGCTAGGTACTACGAAGACTGCATGTATTACATACTACGTACATGTACTATGTAGTAGCGTACTAGTATCTACAGCCTACTGGATGTACTTTGTACACCGATGAAGGGTCCTGGGTGGATTCCGGGCATGGAGCCGTGGAAGCCAATTAGGTACTTTGTAGAATGTAGTATGTACTTAAATCTCTTTTGAATCCCTTCTTCTCAAAAGAAATTATTTGATGTCATTCATCTAGTTCCCTCTGGACTCGAACAGAGGTCTGCATTTCACACGAGCAGTCTGAGCAGAGAGGACCCAACAGCTGGAGAATGAAGTACAAAACATTAACACCAAGTTTGGAGAGGAAGCATCGACCAGGAGGTGGCTAGCTTGGGCTTACGTTGCACGGCTCTGGAAAAAAGAATTATCGACCAAACATCATGGCAGGCCAAGACAACGCTTTGGAAGTACTGTACTGCGGGCCCGTGTAGGGGTTCGGCCCACCAAGGTGCAACTCACTGACTCGGCGCGCGAGTCGGCGGTTGATGGAGGAGAACACTTGGCCAGCTGGTCCTGCATTTCGCAAATCCCACAGTCTGCACTGCAGTTGGTGATTCAGGCCTCGCAGTCAAGGGGGATAATTGCTTGTTTGAAGGTCCTGACTCTTGGCAAGTTGGCACACAGATTCTAGTTGCAGGCCACTCAGTGTTTTAAATTTCAACGCCCACACCTCGGACAGCTGTGCAGGTCGTGTTACAATCTTACAGAAGGACGATGTGTTGGGTGAGCATCACTTGCGATGATGATTTAAAGCTATGAGAGGTAGGGATTCTAGAATTTCTAGGCAAAAGACGACGTAAACATGGAGGGAGGTTAGCTGGAGGCTGGATGAAATGGGCATGAAAAAAAACCCTGGGAAATCTGAGAAATAAATAATCTTAAAGAGGTATCATCATGGGAGATTTCTTCTTAAAATAAAGAAACAAAAAAAAAAAGAAGAAGGGGCGATAGCTTTGAGATATCATCTTGAAATTGACTGGCCCTAGCTTCTGTCCAGCATTTTGTTTGGTGTAGCAGAGCTGCAGAGGATTCAGGAGAGACTTTGGTGTGGCATATGGTCAAGCTCGGTGGGCAGTCGTGTGTGTCTTCCACATATGTCTGGGTTTAGATCGATTTGAACGAGAGAAGCAGAGTAATAGCGGAAGTCTGTACATTTTCATAAGGGAGGGCGGGGACGGTTCCCGCACATGCTGCTCCCCACGAAGAGATTGGAGCATTGTTATTAGAAAAAAAGACGGAAAATAAATGATAGTGGGAGTTCTAGGGCATTCCGTGGCAGGCAAGTAGACTAGACCAGACCAGACAGGTCTGGCGATACAACTGGGCATTGGCCTGGGTGAACCCAGTGAAGAACTTGAGTGAACATTGGTGTCGGCCCTGTGGGGTCAACGGACCTATTGATAGATATGTGCACGGCTTATAGTCGTTTCTATTCATAATTTTTCGTCTTCCCCCCCCCCCTGATGTTTCTTGTGTCCTTCCCCCCCCTCTATACCATGGGAAAGTACTCACGTTCATAATGGTTCATTTGCCTAATTTGATGATTCACAGACACTCACCTGAGTCACCTGTGCATTTCCCCCTGAGTCCTGGCTGGGCACGTAGAGTTTTGAGCCTGGAACCTTACGTGGGGAAGGTCCAGTATTGATCCCACCACCTGCATCAGGCTGCATGATCTGCATCTGCAGATTCTGCACAAACTCATAAAAGGAATAGGGCCCTTAGGACCATTTGTAGGTGGTCAACGCACACTGTCAGACACAACAGGAATAGGCAGTCCACCAGGTCGCCCAACACAACCCAGGGCAGGCCAGAACACTACCCGTGCCCATCGGCCGGCAGCAAAACTCTTGAGTCAGGTGAGTTTGGTGAGGACTCAGGAGTCTGCGGGCGTGGAAGCTGAATCATCATCATTCAGGTCGGTCGAAGATGGAGGAAAATAGTGGAAGAGAGGAGCAGGGTTATTTGACCTAGGGCATGAGGGAGAAGTGGTAGCCATAGCTGCCCTTGGGGGGGGAACTGTGTGCAGGTCATAGTAGTGTGTGTGGAGTGTGTTGTGTGCAATGTTGTATATGTGTTTACGCATGCTAATATGCTGTGAATAGAAAGAACGTAGAAGTGTTGATGATGGACTGCCACGTCAGCACACTGAGGTGCGGTACATTACGGGGTCCTCGGAGGAGGAGGAGGAGGCACGCTTGTCGTTGGCAGAGTCTGTGTCAGTGTGTCATATAAACTTATAAAGGCTTGACAATGTATTGAGCTCTAATATGCATCTCTTTTGCCAGCCTCTGGATTCCGGGGTCTTGTTGACGTTTGACCTTCAAGTCGAAATAAAGAGTGAACACTGTGTTTGCCCTGCCATCTGGAATTTGCAAGTGAGTGTGAGCATGTGTGGATGTTATCTCCCAACACATGATGTCTTTTTCGAAATTGGTGGGATGATGTCAGTTTCGTTCATTCACAGATGTCTCCCTATTTCCGAAAACGTGAGGCCGAATCCTGGAGTTGCTAAACACTCCAGGACTTTTTTTTTTTTTTTTTTTTTTTTTTTTTTTTTTTAAGAAAACTATCTCCATCTCTTGTTGGGGAGCTGCACCTGCTGGAAACCGGCTCCAGCTTCCCTGACATTATAAAAATTTTAATAGTGGCAAAAGGAACGAGTTTGCATAAACACGTCAGGATTTCCATTTCTTCCTCTTTGTTTTTTTTCCCCCCTTTGCGTTTGGGGGAGTCTGCATCCAAGCACGTCCAAAAGGAGCATACACCCGCCCGGAGTAAACAGTCCAAGCCCGGCAGAGGATGGAGTCCGGGCAATACGGCACAGAGACGAGTCGTTGTTTTGCGCAAGGGGTGCACGGTAATGATGCACGTGTGGGTAAACCAAGTGGGGTGAAACAAGGTGGAAGTGCACCAAGGCAGAGCAGAACGCCCCCGAAAGGGGCGTTTAAATGGAAGATAAACTGAAAAAGAGAAAAAGAAAAAGCTGGTGTGTTATGTTGGGACAACCCGGCCCCATTTTCGTTTTTTGGGAACAGCGGGGCTCCGGCGCTCCGCCATTAATGAGCACCACTTTGGAACAAATCTGGCCAAATGCTTGGCCAGATTCATGCAGACATAGCCTGCCAAAAGTACTACCGTCTTCCCCCGAACACAACGCACCCTCATTTTGGCTGTATCTGGCCTGAAACATAGCTTGTATACATTCATCTTTGGGGTGCGTTATGTTCGGGGGACGACGGTTGTAGCTTCATAAAAAGAAGAGAAGAAGAGGGGAGGTTGGGAAACGAGGGTCCCACAATGAGAAGTGGACTGGGACTGCTACCTTACCTAAATGGCAGCCTAAAAAAAATAATAATAATAAAAAAAAATAAAAATAAAATAAATAAATAAATAAATAAATGGCAGCCTTGCTCTTCTCCTGGACGCCCTGGACGCAGTTTCTGATTGGGTCTAAAATTCCCTGACACAGTTCTACCTGAACCTAGTCGGATCAATTTGGACGCTTCTGTAGTGGCCCGTACGTTTCCTAAAATTGTGGCTCGCTAACGGGCACAACTTCAGGAAGTACTGCTGGTTTAAATGGCACGACAAGATCGGAAATGAATCTTCTTTTTTTTTGCTTTGTTCTTGGGAATGCAATGAACCCAAGTCGTGGATACAATGTCGACACTGAAAGCCAAGATTATCGAACCAATGATAGATCTTCAACGACAATAGTATCCAGTAAGAAAGTGGGGGG